CCTGGCCGTGGACGCCTTCGGCTGAGGTTTTGATCTCGCAGTTTTAAGGGGGGACAGGTGTGGGGGAGACGCACAAGGTGCATTTAAGAAAAATCTCTATTGTTGAAAGTATTCCTATGTCCCCTCTGCCCCCATTGACACACACACCCCCAGCCAACCCCCCGCCCCTGAGGTGCAATGTTATTATCCTGGAGCTTTTATCTCTTACTTGTGACCAAGCTGTTCTCTCTGTCTCGACATTGTTCCCCCTGCCGAGCTCGCACTCTTGGGCGAATGTCGCCTTGCCACTCCCGCCACCTCCGTGCAGGCCTCTTGCGCGCGTCCGCCTGAACCCCCCTGTGCCCTGCCACGCCTCCCAGCGACCACCCTCTGACGTGCCTCCAGCCCTGAAACGATGTCTATTCATCTTTGTATCCCCAGTGCCAAACACAGGGCCTGCCAATGGAGGCTCCATAAAAGGCAGCGATTGTCTTGATCTATGGTGGGGGGAAGGGGGACGTAAATGTTTACCGAATTGAATTCCAGTGTCTCTTGGAACAACGGGGCCAGTTTACTTCTCTGGAGTTGTTATGCTCAGGGTTTTGGAAGCCGTGGCGTGCGGGGTACAATGGGAGGCAGCATTGGCACAGAACTGGACGTTCACAGCCCTCTTGCTCAGTCAGGCATGACTTCACAATCGCCCCAAACTTTGGGAAGGAAACAAACACCTGTTGAGCCACTGTTTTATGCCAGGCAGATGGACATTTGTCATCTTTCTTGTATCATGCGCACTGTGAGATGATAGAATGCCTTGACCGAGGCACGTGCTGTTCAGTGGAGACAGAATTTTAACTGGTGTCTTCTGCCTATAGATCCTGAGATTCCAGGATAATACAGAATGAGAAGCTGAGATCATCCTGAGATTCCAGGATAATTCAGTGAGAATAATACAGAATGAGCTGAGTCCAGTGTCCACAGATGTAGGTCCATAAAACTACAAAAATTATAGGCAGACTTTTTTTTTTTTTTTTTTTTTGAGAGAGAGAGAGAGAGAGAGAGAGAGAGAGAGAGAGAGAGAGAAACCAGTTTGTTGTTCCACTTATTTATACATTCATTGGTTGGTTCTTCTTCCCTACCCTGCCCCATTGGTTGATTCTTATATGTGCCTTGACCAGAGATCGAACCCGCAACCTTGGCATATCGGGACAAGACTCTAAGCAACAGAGCAACCCGGCAAGGCCAGATTTTTTCTTACATGTGGCTTATCTCAGGCGGGAGCTCATACCTTTCATTACATTTTTGTCATTGAGGTCAGAAGCCTCAGAAAATATTAGGGGCCATTCGTTGACCCGCCGCCAATTAGTCATCTGTGTCCTAGCCCCTGACTTTCATAGTGAAGTGACAATGTGCCACCGTAGTTTCAGAGGCAAGTGCTGTCACCCCCAAACGGCACCACTTGGTGTTGGTGAAGGACTGCCACATTCCCCAGGCTGAGGCAGGCCGGGAGCAGTCACAGCAGCATGAGGCTCCCTGACAGCCCCACGCGGCCCCCAGGTTGAAGTCATGGGGTTCTTTCCTGGCTCTGACCTCCTGTGTGCCCCTAGGAGCTCGAGGCCATGAGCAGGTACACCAGCCCCGTGAACCCAGCCGTCTTCCCGCACCTGACCGTGGTGCTGCTGGCCATTGGCATGTTCTTCACCGCCTGGTTCTTCGTGTATCCTTTCCACCGGGCAGCGGGGGGAGAGGGGGGCAGAAACCATGCTGGGCGCACGCACCCTGCCAGTGCTTTCCTGGTGTGGGGACGGGAGGTGGAAAGAAGGCCGTTGACGTTCCAGGGTCAGGTTGTGGCCTTACTTTTCAACTTCAGGTGAGCTCAGTTTGCTCTTCAGGTTCCTAGGACAAGAAGCAGAGGGCCTGGCAGGAGTAGAGGGAATACGGGAGTAGATAACAGTGGTGTTAGGAGGGGAGCCCTCAGATGCCAGGCGGTCTGAGGACTGATCTAGCTCCACCGTGTATTTAGGTAAGTGACCTAACCGCTCTGGGCCTCATCTTCCTGGGTAGTGGAGGGATTGCATGGAGCAGCAGAGCCCAGGCCGCTCTTGGGCCTCTGCCCAGCTGCACCAAGCCAGACCCCCCCCTCCCCCAAACCAACAGCGCATTCCTTTCTCTCGCAGTTGCAGTGGCCATGCCCCCTGCTCCGTGCAGTCCATCCCTGTGCTTCTCCTTAACCGTCTTGCAGGTATGAGGTCACATCCACCAAGTACACTCGGGACATCTACAAGGAGCTCCTCATCTCCTTGGTGGCCTCGCTCTTCATGGGCTTTGGCGTCCTCTTCCTGCTGCTCTGGGTTGGCATCTACGTATGAGCTCCCACGGGTAAGAGCTGCTACAGGGTGGGACGCTGGAGAATCCTCCCACACCCACATCGCTGGGGTCCTCAGGCCTGCACTGCCCCTTGGTTCATGAGACAGACTCAGCAGGATGGATAGGGACACCAGACCCACGTGCCTCTTTCCTGCTCCTAATGGGATTTGAGCCACGTCGACCTACTTTGTCATTTCCCAATTCTGGGACACTGCCCAGGGCCTCGATCTGGCTTTGGGGGCTACTCCATGGGGCTGTGGGTGCAGGCTTCCCAGGGCTGTGCGTTTGCATTCTTACATTCACGCACCAGTGCTTGGAGAGTCTGCTGGGGAGTGGGCCCGAAGGGCGTCAGGGTCTGGGACTTAAAACTTGTTCTGATTAGGAATGCCTCGGCCACTAAATAAACCCAGATTAAGTGAGGAAAGAAAACAAACAACCTTGCCATGGATAATCCACCAAACAGGTCACGAGAACTGGCTCCGGTGGCTCAGCCACAATGGCGTGTGCCCCTCCGCCCCTGCCCGGGAGCACGGGGCTCGGCGAGGGAAGCGGAAATGAGGATCTTTGGTCTCACTTTTACACTCTCTCCTCTTTCAGGCTCCAGCCAGGCAGCTGCACTGAATCCCTGCTTTTGTAAATTAACTTTTTTACTGTCGCTGGCGCTGTCCCACCTGCTGCTCACAATAAAGGCAGATGTGTGACCGTCCCATCTGGTGTCCTTCTTGCGGGTGGAGTGCGTGCTGGTGCCCAGACCTGCCTGACTTCCCTCTCCTCTCTGCCTTTCCCATGGTGCCTGCTGCGGGGTGCCCGCTCTCCCTCTGAGGGCCCAGGGGTGTGGGAAGGCTGTCCTGGTGACTGAAGGCTTCCCTGTGGATAGGAAGGGGCAGGCCCGCCCCTTCTGTGGTTTCTCCAGGGACCCACGCCCATTGGCTTTGCCCTGGGCCAGCCCCCTGCCCCAAATGTAGCCACTCTTCTCCGGGCTGGGAACCCTGGCAAAGCTCAGCTTGTCCCCTCAAAAGGCTTTCCCGTAGGATGCCTACCTTTAAACCTGGCCAGGCAGCAGGAGTTCCCTGGGGTGTGGCCAGGGAAGGGGCCTGCTGAGTCCTGTGCCCCAGCCTGGCTTGACGCTAAGAAGGACAATGGTCTGCAAAGCATCCCTGTGGCTGAGGGACCCCAGAGACTCCATCCGGGAGGTCCCAGCCCCAGAGGTGACTCCACCTCCCACCAGAACAATCTCAAAGAGACGGGGAGGCAAGCTCAGATACAAACCGCATTTATACATTTATTTATATACGTGCATGTACTTCAGAAGGAAAGAACAGTTCAGGGACAGGAAGCACAGGCTCACGGCCGCTTCCCTTTGCCCACTCGAGTCAGAGCTGGTCCACGATAAATATGAGTCGAAGCTCAGGGGCAGGAACTGGGGGTTAACGGGGAGGGCGCTCTATGCACACGCAGGCTTTTACTGGGATAAATGAGGGCCGGGGTCTTGTGCATGGAGAAGCCTTATGTACAGCTTGACATTTGGGGGAGATTAGCCCAGTGGCTACAGGAATAAAGGCCACGGGAGAGAGAGGGAGAGATGGCTGCTGGGCCCAGGTAGGGCACGGAGCCAAGGCACGCACTCACCAGCACCGGCAGGGCAGCTGTCCGCTGCCAGCAGGAGGCCCGTCCCCTTCCCGAGGCCCTTTCTCTTCCCTGGGCTTAAGGCAACTTTGGTCCAAGGTTGACCCCCCTGCCCTGGGGATCCCCTACCCCAGACATGGCAACAGCCAGCTGCTAACCAGATTGGGGCTTTGCTGTCCAGGTGGGCTGCAGGGGGCAGTGGAGGATCACTTTCCAGTTAAGGACTGAGGGGCCGCAGTCCAAGAACACAACCCCTCAGAGGAAGCCCCAGGATCCTAACAAGGAGCGGGGCCGAGCAGGTTAAAGGCGTTTAGGAAGGTTCCCCCACGGGAGGGGAGAGAACAGTAGTCCCAAGTAAGGCTGGCCCGCATGGTGTGAGAGCCAGATAATTCCTATGTCAGAATGGGGCGGAGCCACGCGGGAGCCCCCGCCCCCTGGTGTGCCCCCCTCCTGAGGGTAAGTGCTTGAGATCACAGCAGAAGGGGCCCACCGGCAGTTCCTAGGCTTTTACAAGATTCAGGCCCCCCCACCACATACACACACAAGCCTCCCATTCAGAGCTGAGAGGTAAGGGAGGGGCACGGCCTGGTTCCCCAAACGGTGGTAGACCATCACAGAGCAAGGACGTGCGTGCAGTCCCGGTCCCGGCCCCACGTCCGAACCGTGTCAGGGCTAAACGATTCCCACACTCCTCCCACGAGCCCAGTGCGGCTCAGAACTGCCTGCACCTACGAAGATGAACTCCGCCCTGGAGACAGCCTTCTGTGCTCACCTAAGCCCTCCCTGGATTTGGGAGACTGAGAGGGGAGGGAGGGCCGGTCCTGGTGGTCAGGAGTGGGGCGGTGTCTCACGGGACAGGTCCGGGCCAGGGCCCTGTCTTGGCGAGTGTCATCCCAGCGCCCTGGCCCCTCTGGGATTCCCATCACCAGCCTGCCACCCCATCCTGGCTTAAGTGCCTTTTAGTTTTCATTCATGACAGCGGGAGCTATCCGCACCCACCGTCTGCCAAGGTGGCAGCTGCCTTGCAGGGCTTCCTGCTCTTCTGCCAGAGAGTGATGGGCCCGTGACCCCACGGTGAGCCTGCAGCGCCCAGGGGCCCGGGCCTGCGCCGCCGGCACCTCACAGGCACTTCCAGGACACTCCAGGGTCAAGGCTCCGAGGCTTACCCGGCCCACTGGCTCGGCCAGACACTAAGTGTACCTGGCACTCAGCTGCAGCTGCCCCGGGAGGCTCGGAGCCAAGCTCAGGGAGAAGAGACCTCTGCACCCAGTGTAACAGTCAAACCCCAAAAGTCCACCTCCTGGCCACCCTTTGGGGAGCAGCTTCGAGGGTGAGGGCTGCCTGCCCTCACTGGTGCAGGGTCCCAGTCAAGTCGACTGTAGCCGCCCATCTCAAAGGCAGGCCGGCCCTCCTAGGCCAAAGGGAGCTCCCGGCCTCAGGTGGGGAGCAGCGAGGGTGGGCTCCGGGCAGAGCCCCGGGCTCCCCCTGCCCCAGGGCCCGGAAGCCAGCCCTCCCGTGCCATGTCTGCACAGAGGGCCCCACGGTGGCAGCCAGGCGTGACCAGCAAGAGCAGCAGCTCCAGTGTGAGACTACAGTGTCCCCGGCGGAGGCCGGGCCCAGCTCCGTCGGGGCAGTGCCCGCGGGTGGCGAGCTGGCAGCACAGGCTCCAGTGTAACAACTGCATCCAGTGTGGGGGCGCCCGGGGCCGGCCCTGGTGTGGGCGAGGCCTCGGGGGGCAGCTCAGTGGCACAGGCGGTAGAAGCGGAAGTAGTAGTCCGTGGCCAGCTGGACGGGGGCCTCCGCGCTGCAGTTGGCCTGGCCCTGGGTGGGAGGGTGGAGGGACTGGATGAGGGGGTTTGGGAGTTGCAAGGGGGAGGGGAGCCCCCCCCCCACATGTCCTGACACCGCCCCAAGTCCTGCCCTGAGCTCTGTACCCGCACCCCCACCCAAGCCCCTTCCCTCCCCAAAGCCCCACAGACACAGGCCTGCGCTCACCAGCAGTGCCACCTGGAAGTGGTAGGTGAAGTCACGGGAGGACAGGATGGTCACTGGCCACTGGTGAGAAGTGCCCTGGAGGAAGGGGAGAGGTCAGGACAGGCCCTGCTGCCAGCGTGGCCGGCGGAGAGCAGTCTGGCTCTGCGGAGTCTGGGAAGGAAACGCATCTCTGCAGAGATGGAAGCAGGGTCTGCTCTGGGGCGCGAGGGCGGCCACTCACTGTGCCCATAAGTCCACAGCTGCCTCCTCCCGTCTGCCTACCTTCCCTCCCGCCCACAATGCTCTGGGCACGTCAAGTAGTTCATTAACCCGCCTTCCTACACCAAGGAGGGGGCGCTGCTTACCGGCGAGGAAATGGCTACTTTCCTAAAACCATGGTGCAACATGGCAAGGCTGGACCCCAAACCCATCTGTGTCATGCTCTGTCCCTGGCAGGGCAGCTGGCCCAGCTCCTATTGGAGGCTCCAGCTTCGCTCCTGCGGTACGTGTGCCCAGGCCTGAGCAACGCGTCCGCTGAGCGCCGGGCCGGGCTCCCTCAGCTGCTCATGCTGCCCCCGCTGGGGCCGCGGGGCCTGGGCCTCCTGGGCTCCCCCCATCAGCTTCTCTGCACATCAGTCTCCCACGCCTCCCGCACGGCCTGCGAGGGGTCCCAGCGCGTGTTTGCGAAGCCTGAGGAGAGCTTTCCTTAACTTGGCTGAGTCATAGCTGCAGGTCATGGCCAGTGAGGCACTGGAGAGTGACAGGGTCTGGCCACTTGCTTCCAGAGCAGGAGGGAGCTGAGGGTCTCCCCCAAATCCAGATGGAGCTGGGCCCCGTCCCCAGCCTGAGCTTGAGGTCCAGGCTCCCAACCTGCTGCCCCCACCCCCCATCCCAACTCAGCCCTGCCAGTTCCAGCTCCACCAACATGTCCCCTTCCCCGCCCCCCTCCGTCCCCGCCTCCAGACCTCTGCACCTGCTGCTCCCCTCTGCTGGGACACTGTCCCAAGTGGTCCTTCAGGTCTCATTATATAAACATGACTTTCCAGTGGCTGTCCTGACCTGAGGCCAGATGAGGTTAGCTCTCCCTGCCATGGGCTCCCAGGGCTCCCTCCCAGCCCCTGCCCCTGTCCCTGCCCCTGCCCCTGCACCCATCACTGCACTCAAGCTAGTCCTTGTGGGGCCATTTTCTTTCTTTTTTTTTTTAAATAAATCTTTATTGTTCATATTATTACAAATGTTCCTCATTTGTTCCCCTGTGGGGCCATTTTCTTCCCAGCGCTCTGCCAGGGCAGGAATGGGACAGAGTAAGCGACAGAGAGGCTCAGCCATGCGTGGTACACACCCCCTCCCGCAGTGTCCCTTGTGGAGATGCCTGCACTCTGGCCCCGGCTTCCTCTCCTCACACATTTGGGGGCCCCGTTGTGCTCTGGGGCCCCCCAGCGGCCCCCTACCTGGGTGTCCTGGTGGGTGGGGAGGCTCTGTGGAAATCCCCCCTCCTCGCACGGCTCCTCCGACCTCAGGCTGCACAGCGCCACGGACACGGGGGACGAGGAGCTGGAGGTGCCAGGTAGCAGGGAAGTGGGTTCCAAGCGCCTCCGCCCAGCCTCCTCCCCGCCTGCCCTCCACTCCACCTCCCTGCCCCGCCGGCCCAGCCACCGAATCCTCTCAGCGGGAAAACAGTGCTAACAGTCAAGGTCCCAGAAGGCTCTCCACCCTCCCACCCACCGTCCTGCACGGTCCTCAGGGCCCCTGCAGGCAGCAGCCCATTCTACCGATGAGGAACCGAGGCCCAGGGAAAGTTAGCAGCCAGGGACCGGGTCTCCCCTCCCCCACGCCGCACTCACTTCATCTGCAGGGTCAGGCTGAGGTGCAGGGGGGTGCTGCCGCTGACAGGGATGTGGTAGGTGAAGTTCCCAGGCCTGAAAGGGCAAAGCTGGCTCCTCAGCCCCAGGCCACACCCCCAGCCTCACCCCATGGACTCCTCAGCCCAGCCTCCCTGGAGCCCCTCAGGGGTCTAGCCAGGGTCTGCGTTGCCTGGTGGGGGAAGGTCATCCCCGAGCAGGGCAAGGGCTGGACATGTGGACGGCCTGGGCTCGGAGCCTGTCCCTGAGGGAGGGGCCCGCCCACCTGCAGGCACCCCCTGGAGCACAGTACTGGGCGGTGATGGGCATCGAGTTCTCCAGCAGCTGGATGGAGGTGAGGGCGGGCGCCGCGTCTGCAAGGAGAGGCGGGGGTGAGCATCTACCCCTTGGGGTTTCTCGGTCACTTTGAACTTCAATCTCAGCAAGCCACAGCTTCTCAGCTTTTTTCCCTTTAACCCTCGTCAAACGGAAGTGGGTGAGGAGGCCCAGTATCTACAGCAGAGCCAGCTCTTGGCCTCCCCTTCAATCTCCAAGGCAGCCCGGGCACCGTGGCGGAACCCCGTTTAAAAGCCTCAGCAAGAAAGTGTTCCCCAGCCAAAACCGGTTTGCTCAGTGGATAGAGCATCAGCCTGAGGACTGAAAGGTCCCGGGTTCAATTCTGGTCAAGGGCAGGCACCTCGGTTGCAGATACATGCCCAATAAGGGGTGTGCAGGAAGCAGCTGATGGATGTATCTCTCTCATCAATGTTTCTAACTCTCTATCCCTTCCTCTCAGAATAAAATCAATAAAATATATTAAAAAAGAAAAGTAAGGGTTCCCCAGCTTTGTCTGCCTAAGGGTTTGGGGTTTGGAAAAACGGAAGAGCCAGGCCCTGGAGCCAGGCAGGTTGGTATAATTCCAGCTCTGCCACTGATGGCTCACCCTGAGGAGACATTCTCTGGTCTAGCCTCTGTCTCTTCATCTGGAAATGGGGACAGTCCTTTCTTGGGGGGGGAAGGGGGGGGGGGTGTTGCTGTGAAGATTCCATCCGCAGGACCCCTGGCTACTGGTAATGCTCAGCAGGGCCTGCTGACTGAGCGGAGCACCCAGACACACGATGCCTGGGCTGAACAGGGCTGGGTTGAGGGGTGCAGGGGGACAGGGCAAGTACCTGCTTGGCCCCAGGGCTGAGTGGGCGGGGGGAGCCCTCGGCGGGCCCGGCCATGAATTCGGAGGCTGGGGCTGTTCTTGGTTTTGCCCTGCCCCCCCAGGAAGGGGACTGAAGGACTGGCCACGGGCTCCAAGCTCTTTGAGTGCTTGGAGTGGCCGATGCCATTGGCTGCCAGGCCCCAGGACTTGGCTCTGATGTTGGTGCCGGGCAGCGGGGCCATCTGGCTGGGGTCTGTGGACAGAACCGGGGCAGGCTGAGAAGAGGGGCTGCTGCCTCCTGCCCAGCTGTCTCTACAGCCCCACTGGACTTGGGGTGACCCCATCGGTCTCTTGGTCCCCCCAAGGCGGCCCGCCAATATTTTCCAGAGCCTCCTTCTGGGCTCAGGAGACCCTCCCACCAGTGGGCCTGTGGGGTATTCCTCTGGACTCAGCTAAAAACCAAACAAACCCAACAGCCATACCTGAGTGGTTGGTGGAGGGACTGGGACTGGGGGTGCGGCCATGGCTGGGGTCAAAGCTGGGGCCAAGACTAGGGTGAGTGGCAGGGCCGGGCGTGGGCGAGGAGCAGCAGACGACGGGGCAGGGCGGGCTGGAGCACAGGTCTAAGGTGCGGATGGCTGGTCCTGGGGCTGAGTGGGTCAGGCCCGTGGTAACTGCGGAAGCCAGAGGATGTAAGAGCCAAAGGGGGCAGCAAAGACCCCCATCCCCTCTACAGAACACAGCCTCCTCCCCCATTCCACCCCTCCAGACCTGCCCCAGGCACGCACCCAGCAGCAGAGAGGGCCGTGTGCCTGGCAGCCCGGTGGGCACGGGCGACTGTCGGAGCTGAGTGGTCCCAAAGCTCTGGCTGGCCCTGCTGGGGAAGGGTGGGCCGAGCTCAGAGGGGCTGGAGCTGGTGGGGAAGCTGGGAGCCTTGAGAAGCAGGAAGGGCAGCAGGGGGTGGGCGGGGAGGTGGAACGAAGCAGGGAGAGGGCAGCCGGAGCCAGAGGCGGCAGGGAGGGGCTGGACCCGGACACGTACCATGGGCACATGGCCTCACTCCCCCCCGGGTGCTGGGGCCGGAGCAGGGCCAGAAGACAGGAAGTGGACACGGCAAAAGAGCTAAGGGCAGCATAGAGGAAAAGGAGCAGGCGCGGTGGAGAGAGAGAAGACACAGTCAGAGATGGCCCAGAGGCTGAGGGTGACAGTGGGCAGACAGAGCCCAAGGTCCCGCCCTGGCCCTCCTTCCCTCCACCCCAGTCCAGCCTAGGCCCCGCCGATGCCCTGGCCTCAGAGGCCCGGTGACCCGGAGGAGCGCTGGGTAGGCCTGAAGAAACACAGATTTCCGCAGGCACTGGAAGACAGACATCCCCTCCAGGGAGGCCCTCCCTCCCCGGCACCAGCCCCCCACGGGCTGAGAGCCTAAGCTGGAACCCCAGAGGGGACAGCCTCCATGGCTCCTCTGACCCCGGCTGCCCACCGTGGCCCCGCCTGAGCTGGCGGCTCAGCAGACACCAGGCCTCCAGGAACATACCCATCCGTCTCTACCAGGTCCTCCTCGGTGCGCAGGCTCAGCACATACAGCGTGGACATGGACACCACGCTGGGGACCACAGGGAAGGGCCACGGTTAGAGCTGAGCCACAGTCTGGAGTCCTCTCTCTGGGGCAGGGCCTGGGCTCCCGGGGGATGCCTGTAACTGGTCTCCCAACCCCCAGGGGGACAGGACAGGATGAGGCAGCCCAACCCTTCCCCGGGACCTCAGGGACTCTCCCTGGCCACGCCTTCCTCTCCCCAGGCCACGCCTTCCTCTTCCCCAGGCCACGCCTTCCCCTTTCCCCAGGCCACGCCTTCCCCTTTCCCCAGGCCACGCCTTCCTCTTCCCAAGGCCACGCCTTCCTTTTTCCCCAGACCACGCCTTCATCTTCCCAGGCCACGCCTTTCTCTTTCCCAGGCCACGCCTTCCCTTTCCCTAGGCCATGCCTTCCCCTTTCCCCAGGCCACGCCTTCCTCTCCCCAGGCCACACCTTCTTCTCCCCAGGCCACGCCTTCCCCTTTCCCCAGGCCACGCCTTCCCCCTTCCCAAGGCCACGCCTTCCTCTTTCCCAAGGCCACGCCTTCCTCTCCCCAGGCCACGCCTTCCTCTTCCCCCAGCCTGCAGCCCAACTGTCCCAGCCAGCTGCCCTGCCCTGCCCTGCCCTGAGCCTGCCTGGGGGACAGTCACCTGAAGGCCATGACCACCACCAGGGCGATGATGGTCCCCTGCAGGAAGCGCTGGCTGACGCAGGCCTGCTCTGGGACCACAGACGGCGCCTGAGGAAAAGGGAAGAAGCAGCAGAGGCCTAGGCTTAGGGAGCCCGTGGTCTTACCCACTGGGGTGCTGCTGGAGGTAAGGGTGCAAGGTGGGCTCACTCCCATGGGGGCAGAGGGAGAGGACCAGAAAGCAGGGCTGGGCGGGCTAGAGGGTCAGTGAGCCTGGAGAGGGGCAAGCAGGAAAGGACGCCGTGGGAGGGGAGGCCCCGGTCAACCTACCCCCCACCCGCCCACCTTACCTTGCTGGCCACCTTGGGGGGCCTCTTCTTGTGGGGGACGCTGCCTGCCCGGCTGAACTGGCTCCCTGTGTGGCTGCAGCCAGAGGGCCAGGGTCAGAGGCAGCCCTGGGGAGCCGGTCTGCCCTCCCTCCCCCGCCCCGCACCCCCACCTGAAGGCGCCGGAGCTGCCGGTGGACTTGAAGCTGTCCAGGCGCCGCAGTTTGGCCAGCTTGTGGCTCCAGCGCTCCAGCTCGTCGATGCGCGTCTCCAGGTTGTCGGTCAGCTTGCACAGCTCCTTCACGGCCCCCACGTTCTCCATGAAGATGCGCTCCTGGCCAGGGAACGGGACAGTGTCAAGGGCATCCTGTGCCGCCTCGGGCAGCCCCCCGGCCGGACCCCTGGGCATAGGCCTGAACTGCCCTCCCCGCCCGTCAGAATGCCCGTCTCCCAGGGCCCATGGGCGCCCCTCGCCCCAGGAGCAGGGAGCCTCCCATGGCAGCACTTCACTGTGCAGCCGAGGCCAAAACTTCTGGTGCTCCTCGCCAGGGAGGGTGCCATACACCTGGCAATGCACCGCGCCCGAGCCTGGCAAGAGCCCCGAGAAGACTCAGCGGCCGCTCTGGCCCAGCCCCACGGCCCCGAAGCCACCCTCCGAGCGGGGCTCTGCACCCAGCCCAGCCTCCTTGGAGGGGTGGCCCGCCCCTCTGCCCCGGGGCAGCCCAGGCCCCCCCAGGCTGCAGACCTTGTTCACCACCAAGAAGTTCTCGATGGTCTTCCCGTTGGCGAAGACCACGGCGCCCGCGTCCTTCACGGCCTCGGGCAGCACCTCCTTCACCTCCTGGGCGATGACACCTGGGGAGGGCGGGCCAGGGGTGTGTGGGGGGCGGGCCAAATGTGAGGGCCGGGTGAGTTTTGTGGCGCTAGAGATCTGGGCTCCTAGGAGCCTGGAAGCAGGGGCGCCACTGGCTAGTGTTCGCAGGTGGTGTTTCCTGGGGCCAAGATGTGTGCGCCCCTGGCTGGCGGGCGGGGCCGGGCGGGTCCCTGGGAGTAAGAATCCCAGGGGAGGGGGCAGGGAGAGGGGGGATGAAGACAGGGTTCATCCAGGGCAGAAGGGCGAGGATCCCCGGGATCGATTCCCGACTTCCAGGGTCCAGGCGGGAGACCCCGGGGCTGCGGGAGGGTTCCCTGAGGGGTTCCCCGGAGGAGGTTTCTAGAAGACCCGCGCAGCATCACAGGAGGACGGGGCAGGGTCGGGGGTTCCGGGCTCCCCGGCTCCAGCCTCAGTGCGCGCAGGCGGGCCTTACCCGTCTCGGGCGCCGAGGCCTCGATGCCCGCGCTGGCGGCGAACTCGGGCTTGTATCTGTAGTGCACCAGGCGCATGCGCGAGATCCTCTTCAGCTGCTCTGTGGTGTCCACCTGCGGGGAGCCAGGCTCAGCCCGAGCCCTCCCTCCTGGCCATCGGGAGCGCCCCGGAGACCGAGAGGCTGCAGGGTGGAGGGGAGGCCCTGCTTCCGGGGCCCCGGGGGCCTGAGATCCAGGCTCAGTCCTCCCCCTCTTCCCCTTGCCCCTGGGCGCTCCGCTGTCCCCACCCCCAGCCCCACCTCCTGCACGTGCTCCTTGGCGCGGAGGTCCGACGGGTGCATGAGTGAGCCCATGACCTTGACGTTGCCGTGCACGACCAGCGCCTCATCGGGACGGTCTGTGTTGATGCCCACACGGCCGTGGTGGAAGACTGTGTCAGGCACCTGTGCCCGCTGCCACAGCACGTCACTGTCGCTCTCAAACTGGCCTGGGTTGGAGGCCTAGGCACATGGGGGTTGGATGGATCAGTCCGGGGGTGGGGGGGAGGGAACCTGCAGCCCCCTGGGAAAGAGGCACCCCCCCCCCTCACCGCCCCTCCAGCTCTGGCCACGGCTCCTCTCTTCACTCTGCCTAACCTAAACTGCCCCTCCCATTGTGGCAATTTCTGGTTACTTGTGGGACTTCAGGGAGCCCCCAGGCCTGTCCACTTCCACACTTTACAGGGTTCCTCAAACTTTTTAAAGTGGGGGCCAGATCACGGTCCCTCAGAGAGCTGGAGGGCCGGACTATATGAACTACTAATTCCTACTGTAACACCTCGGCTGTGCTCACTGCCCAAAAACCTGGCAGGCCGGATCAGACTCCTCTGCGGGCCGCATGTGGCCCACGGGCCGTAATTTGAAGACGCCTGCTTTAGGAGACTCTGAGGCCCAGAGAGGGTGGAGCCTTGCCTG